TTTCGGTTTCACCACTGAGATTTAAAATGTGAGCAAGTGATTACTTCTTTAATGTCATAAAAAGTATTAATTTAAGCAAGGTTACTGTGATTGTGATAATTTTAACTATAAGTGATACTTAGTACTATTGCAAGTGGCTCCACTCTGGATTCAAAAAACGCTTTCGCTTTTAAAATAATTAGTTCGGTGCTCCCTTAGTAAATAATCTCCTATAAACGTTTATTTTATTCAAGTTTATCGTACCTACTCATTGAAGAAGCTTTCATGATGATCCATGTTAGCGGTTACCGTATCGCATCATTAATGGACTCTGGGTAATATGGGTTGCTCGGCGCTGTGGTTTACCTTTGACCGTGTTTGTAATAAGCGGTGCAACCAGCATGTGTGTATGTCCGTATTGTACATGTGACTACTAAGCACGCCACATAAAGCTATAAACGCCCAAATAATTATATCAAGAGGAAATATGTGTCACAACAAAATCAAAACCTACTGGACTCATTTGAAAAAATCATTCTTAATATAGGTATGTATTTAACAAGTTTTATACAATATCTTCATTTTGTTCACACTCATACACATGTATAAAACATGGAGTACACAATACTTGTATCAAACTTTGTACGAGACGCCCGAACCAATGAAAAATAAAGTTTACGTACATAGTGAGAGGTCTAAACAGTGAGTTGTGAACTATCAAAAAAACGATTGCCACTGCGCCAAGCGGTGGCGCAGATAAACTAGTTGAAAATTGATAGTTGCAAACGATAGGCTGTCTCTTTCTGATCAATCTTATAAGAATTATGTTCGCATTGTCCGCCTGCGAAAATATCAATTTAATGTGTTTTAATTGTTATTCTTTGTGTTTTAATAGATAATTGAGAAATAGAAATAATAAGTTCTGTTTAAATTAGTATAGTAATTTAGGCGTAATTAAGGCGGAAAGTTAGGAATAAATTCCAACCGATAATAGGTTATTTATAGTTATAAGTTTTATAATAAAGGTTTTATTTTGTGTGTTTTCACTTGTCCAATAGAAAAAGATATAATAATTAGGTATAAAATATATATAAGTAGGTATTTAGAGACCTTGTAACTTTGTCGGGCTATAAAGCTATTGTTTGTGATTAATCCTATTAGAAACTTGTTGTATTTGGTCAATAAGACATAGGACTACATGAATAAACATGTTTCAGATCAATAAATATAAAATTATGCCGAAAAATAGTATAAATCGATTTGTATGGAACATGCTAAGCACGCTCCCCACGCGACGCACGAGGAGCGTGTTGGTGGGGAAAACAGGTCTGTGGCGGGCGGATCCCCATGGAGGGGCGAGTATAAATATCGCGGAGACCTATTTTCGCGCGCCACAGCTAAATTATAATGATTTCGGCCGCGCCAATGAGCTAAAAATATGCTAATTTGTATGCCCCATATATGTACATATAGATTTAAGTTCGGGATATTGTATGTAACAAATAAATGAGAAATAAAGTATAGCGGAGGTGAGGTAATGGATCGCTGGCCAGCCTCTGCACATATAAAAAACAGACTCCAACATGCCATACAGCTACAGGCGCTCCTATCTAAAGGAACAGGAAGAAACAAGCGGTTCACTCTGGACCTGAAGACTCCTTGAACGGCATCCATTACCAGCGCCCACAGATTCTCTTCGATACAGAACACTGGGAGTTTTATTTCATCGAAAGCTACAATCCACACATCGCCGTCAAGACTCCTGCGTGTACCATCCTCCAACCCCAAGTGAGAGTCGGTAACTACCAGCTACAGCCCGGCGTGCCGCACAAACTTGTTGGAAAACAAAAAATGTGTAGTAAATGAATGATTGATACTTGTCAGTTATAGTTGTCTATGCAGTGTAAACGAAAACATGGTATAAACAACCACAACAAGTACTCTAACCCCCTTATTAATAAACAAGGAATAAGCTTAGACTAGTTACGCAGTATTTTGTTCATGTCATTCGAATGCCATTTGTCCTTCAATGAACGGAGACAAAACATGGAATAACTAATCCAAGCTTATTAGTCGTATATTAATAAGGGGGTACAAGTTTTATATATAAAATTAGTTTATGACTTGTTTCTTGGTGTAAATAAGGGGTTAGAATGCTGCATTATCCTTGAGTAACTTAAGCCTTATTTTATTGCGTCAAAATAGGCTATCTCGAGCAAAGCCGGATTGGATCGCTAGTAGCCTAGGGTGAAACAATTTAAAACAGGATTAAACCCATTACAAAAGGAAAAAATACATCACTTGCAAGGCTAAATGTTTTCTGTTTACTTTGCCTTAGTAGAATTTGCCAATAAAAAAAGTAAACAAAGTTTGTTTTATTTTGTCACGGTAATATTATCTATACATTATTGTGACTCAGCTCTGTCCTTCAAATAACTGCCTACGGCCGAGCGGTACGTTAACATGCGGTAGGGCTGCCCGCCTACAGCATTTTAATTTCACCTACATAATTGAGTTTCTTTCTAGTTTTGTGATTGTAAATATGTTATTTTATATGTAAAGATTTTCCGCAAGTCCATATACCCATATCGTAGGAATGCTTCAAAAATAACTATTCCGCCACACAGCTAACCGTGCTTTTTAATAAAGCGTGTATATGTTATGTGCTAAGTGATTAATTATTATGAATGATGCCTTATTTATATATTATTCCATTCCTATTGGGCAGAGTGATGTAAAGCATGTTTAATACTTTCAAATGAATACATAGTTAAATAGACCGAGCATTACAAGTAATGAAATCAATTATCGGGTAGAGTAATAATAAAAACCTGTTTTATAGTTTAGTATTTATTTTTGAAATTTAAACAATCGGACTTCGGTTTTATTTCGATTACTTTACGGAGGGCTACATTTAGAAACTATAGTCTATAGTAGTTTCAATGCAGTTTGTTTGAAAAATTCATAAAATCTGTGAAAAGTTCAGAATTTATGGTTCCCAATTTTATAGGATGTAAGGAATAGGGAAGTAAGAACCAGTGCTTCTGCCTTATATCCGGCGCTGCGGGAAAAGCAGCCCCTCCGCGCCTCCGGGCTCTAAAAAACACTCTAGAGGTAGGGCAGACCAAGACCACGGCGTGTCGGGGTTGACCAAGTCGGTGCTGAATTAAAGACTGTTGTGAAGCCACATTTACTTTTTTTTCTAAGTGTTGCCTTATGTCCATACTATTTTTTATTTACCAAGATCTCAAAACAAACACAAAATGGTGAGACATCTGTCATTTTGACAATAGTACCAACGTTTTGAATTTATTCATACTGCCCGATCCAAGCGATAAATTCTAGATTTCTAAACACTGACTTATTACATGGACCACGAGCCGTCCGGCGTTATTAATAATGGCCGGGCAATGTGATAAATATATGAGTTTAGATTGTAATTAATCACTTGGCCCGATATGGCTGGGCATTATTCATACTGCCCTGGCATTATGAATACTGTCCGCATTAATCACTTGGCCGAAAAACCTAAATATTAAAAACAAATTACGTACTAGTAGATAGGTATATAAAAAAATATTCTATAGTCTTACCTTTCCAATATTTCAGGTAATTTAAAAAATGATATCTTAGGGTGTGTTATTAAAGAGTTCAAGCAACCAAAAACAGCACAATATTGTCGTTTGTTCTTTGCCATATTAAATTATGTAGGTACCTACCTAATTCAATAAAAATTTTACAATACAAATCGCACGTTTAAGCACGGCTAACTGCATAAAAAATCATTCACACCGTTCGATCGTCGATGCGGCGCATTTGCGACAATTGCGACTGGGTGTTCCTCGAGAGTCCCGCGAACTCGAGTGGCGTAGGTATGATTCGCTTTCCAACCGTTTGTATGAAGATAGAATACTGTATATAATATTGCCGTGGTTTTTTTTGTCTTTTGTTTATATCTGGGGAATTTAGACAAAACAATCCTTATCAAAGGTTTCATTTCAATTTCGAAAGGGATTGCTAAAAGAAAGCAGTTTATTGAAAAAAAAACCAAATGAATGAATTTTGCTGTTCGTCATTAATTTTGAAATGTAGGTAATTGTATTTTAAAATAATAAGTTCAGTCTAGGTACTTTTTAGTTTTAATTTCCGCGTATTATTTGAGAAACGTACTATACAAGCCTTGGTCACAACTCCGCATTAATGGACTTACGTGTGTGTGCCTCGGCTCTTTTGCTGGCCGCTGCAGTTATGTATTTTAACATACCAGTAATATCGCCTATCAGATAAAATTCGACGTTTTAATTAGTTCTTTATTGAAATTCGTCAAAGACGCACGGTAGTGTGTTAAATATTGTTTTTATTTATTTTTGGTGTGCTGAATTTCTGCACTGTTTCTCAATGTAAACTTTAACTGATCAAAAATCCGAGGCTCCTGAATAATTGATGTTCCTACTTACAAAGGGTTCAAAAGCTTTTCCTTCAGGTATTAATAATTATATTTATCTCAAGGATACCCAAATATACATTTCCTACTGGTTGGATCTTATTGACCGGCTTCAATAGTGACAGGTTGCTAACACAGGATAGTTAAAAAAAATATGAATCAAACCTTAAAATGGGTTCAATTTTATTTTTTTAGCTCATCCTTGCGTTGCGTTCTTGCGTTCGAGTGCTCGAGGTTCTAGTGGGAAACGAGTCATACATTAGTTTGTTACGACCAGATTAACTAAAGTTGGTTGTTGTGCCCAAGTGCGTAACGTTCGTATAGTTTCTTTAGTTAATCTGGTCCTTGCAGTCTGGTCCCAGTGGCTGCACTGGCGTGATCGCAGCCGTCTAGTGCACGAGGTGCTTTAAAAATATGTACGATTTAAGCTAAAATCTTAACTCTCAACAAATTCATTATGGCACATGGATCGCAGAATCAGTATCGCTTCGACGGACACTTTCAAATTCGTTTGTACATACCTCGGTTCGTTTCTCGCTTCTGAAAAAATCGTCATGTGTGTCAAAATTTTACGTACCTGCTGTTGGTTCTCACGTTGCATGACCAGCCTTGCCTCGACGCAGTCCCTAGTCTCTAGGAACGCGCGGCGTTGAGCAAGCTCGCGTGGGTGATGCGTCATGATTCCAGATAGGTTGCAAGCCAGCAGGGTTGTCGCGGTGCAAAAAATCTAATAGAAACACAATAACCATCATTAGCCTTAAGGACTTCACTGCTGTGCCACAGCCATGTCTTTAGATCGGAATAGAGATATTGGGACATGTACTAGTTCTTATCCCTAAATCCCGCAAATCAGCTCAGGAAGCCCATGTGACTGGCTCAGTGACTGCTCGGGATGAAAGGAAGCCTAACATTGGGAAATGACCTACCACGTGGGCTTAATAAAGATTGATGGGAGCCAGCAACTGCAGATGAAACCGGGACTAACGGTCTAATAAACCACTTCTATATTTCTGGTTATTGTTCTTCTGCCCACTCTTATCATTGCAAATTAATCGCGTTAATCGCCTTCTCATCGCTATATCTTATTCTTATATATTATTCTATGAATTCAATGATGAAAAAATAAATAGTTGTGGAATTATGGATGGAAAATTTATCCAAATAGTAAAAAATTACATTATAAATTCACATTTGAATGTTTTAGAAACTGAATTGAACTGAACTGAAAGGAACTTTCAGCTGAATAGGTTTGAATATTTCATGTAAATAAATAAGGAGTATGCTAAAGAGAAAATATATGTTTATTTACTATAATTTAACTTGGCATGAAAAGAGAGATTCTATTAATTGCAGATCACTGCTCTTTAGTGTCATGGAACAGATACATCTATACCAGGTCAAATCATAAGGAGCAGTTTAGTTTTAAGCTACCGGAAACTCTGTACGAATACCATTATATAAAGGTTTTATTTTATTATAGAGGCCGCCCGCGACATCGTCCGCGTTAACTTTGTTTTTTTGAGAATCCTGCAGGAACCTAACATTTTTCCGGGATAAAAAGTATTTAATGTCTCAATCCATGTCATAAACTATATGTGCACCAAATTTCACTTAAATCCGTTTAGTAGTTTTTGCGTGATTAAGTAACAAACACACAAACTTTCACATTTATAATAATACTAGTGGCCCACCCTCGCTTCGCTTCGGTGTAGAGCTGCCTTTTTCAAACTTCTATTGACATCACGTCACTCAATTGTTTTTCCTTCCCGGAACTAACATTTAAAATTTATGGTATGGTATTAAAGTTCAAATTGACTTTGAAGTATTATTACGAATCGTTTGTATGGGAGAATAGAAATTTGTTGTTTTTGGACTTATTAGGCAATTTTCTTAATTTTTCTCTGCGTAAGAACCATCCTCGTACATCAAGGAATATTCTAAAAAAAGAATTATCGAAATCGGTTCAGCTGGTCTCGAGATTTACGCTTAGTAACACATTCAGCTATTCATTTTTATATTATAGATTAGTAGGATTGTGGAATAGTAATCAACGACTATGCCAATAACTCAAAGAAGGAGCAGTGAAAGTTTAACTATATTTATATTAATTCACCACACATTTGTAACAATCGGCACTTAAACAAAAATGTTAGTATGTAATAGGTGTTATGTTAGGTACCTTTGTTCAAGTGTGTTGTTAATAGATCCTAATAATGTTCCTATTCTAATTTTTGGAGTGCTAATGTTGGAGTGCTAACTGGAAAAGTCTAAAGAAACTTACCTCCATATCCGAAGTCCTGTCAAGTATGAGATGGGCGCCGATGTTGACGGTGGCCAAAGCGATGCCACCCAGCGTTGCCTCGTGTAGCCTTAGCGGCAGCGTCGCATAGATGACGTATGTGAAAAGAGCGCACGCACCGGCGCTCACACTCGTCCCTCTGGAAAAATCAACATCGTGAGCGCTTTGCTCAAAATACAAGCTTCCTTTTTTATTTGGAAAATTCTCAAACATTTGATGACTAATAGCTCGTATGTATGATATCCTGAACACGGTTCTTTTAAAATGCCTTATCAATCTCTGAAACTAAATAGTATATCTGTTTAGTTTCAGAGATTTAAAAGGCTGCAATATTGACGTATAACGTCAATGTGCTGTATTTTATGTTGGTTGGTGGTTTCGTTTTGGTTTATGAACATTATGGATAATAAAGTTGGTGCATGTCAAACTAAAGAGCCTGAACGTTATGATTCTAATTTTTATGGTTTCGTAATTCAATCGGCAAAAACGGAACCCTTATAGGATCACTCGGTTGTCTGTCTGCTACAATCGATTTGCTCGGAATCTACTGGACCAATCCAGTTGAAATTCGGTACATACATGTCTGCGACTCAAACACAGACGGATAAAGTAAATTAATAAAATATGAATATGGGGGTAACTTTTAGGGGGTGAATTATAATATATTATAATATACGTATTTAAAATTTAGCTAAATGTTTCGTGTTTATAAAAGGGCTCAATGTGAAAAGTTAAAACATATTTCATTACGAATGTAAAAAACAAAATTTAATTAATTAACTCCATTTATCAAAACCTTTCATTTTTTTCGACCTATCATTTGCATGCAGATGACCTCCAAATGCCAAGCGTCTGTTTCTAAGTTAAATGAGGCAATATCAACTATCTCTTTAGATTTAGATCGTATCGCTGATCGGTGCAAATCTTTTGCCCTAAATCCTGCAAAATCACAGGCATTGTATTTGGTAGTTCCAGAATGATGGCAAAAGTTACCTTAAACACCCTCCCTATGGTCAACTTTGCTGGAATTAATATTCCGTACAGTTTATTCTTTAGAAATTTAGGTATAACCATCGATACTACTTTAAGTTGAGGCCTAAAGCTGCAGTCGGTAAGTCGCAAGTTATATGCGTCAGCGGCATCGCTAAAAAACAATCAGTCTAGTAAAAAAAGCAACAGAGATTGTTGCCTTTTTTTCTAGACTATGCAGTCCATTGCTATTTGGATTTAACGGAGGAACAGCTAAATAAACTTGAAACTTCTGTATCAATTATATATATATGGCTTGCGCAAATATTATCACGTTTCTAACTTTAGTTCTAAGTGCAAGTGGCATCCCATTAGGCTTCGCCGGAATACTCACATATTAGCACTCCTGTTCAATATTTTGCTTAATCCTCTTTCCCCGCGTTATATCAATGAATATTTTAAGTTTCAACAAAATTCCCTATCGCTTCCCCAGAAAGAAAATCATCAGAAAATCTGACCCTCACAATGCCTGTTCACCGCACCAGCTATTAAGAACATTTCTTTGCTGTACAAGCTGTTCGACTTTGGAACTCCTTGCCTTCTAATATCAAATGCGCTCAGTATTTGAATATATTCAAAGACCAGCTCAAAAACTTCTATCTTTCGTAGTGAATCTGATTTTACTGTGTAAAATATTTATCGTATATATGTTATGTATTTATATACGTATACATTGCATATATATTATTCAATGTATAAACCCCCAAACTACAGTCTCTGTATAACTTTTCATACTCACGGTTTTTTGGAAAAAATTAACGCTCTTAGCGATTACACCGCCAATTATAACGCTCTTGTTAAGTTTATTGTGTGTTAATGATATGTAATTATGTATTTCGTGTCGTAAATAAAGTTTTAATCTATCTATCTAATGTGTACAAGGTTTAAGGATTATACTAACGAATTCACGCACCATCAATTCAAAGCGAATCTAAAAGAAACACGATTTGAATATATTGCATTAGAAGCTTTCTGAATGTTTCGGCTTTGATTCCTTAGAATAGCCTTGAATCTAATTAGAGACTAGAATGGACTCTAGTAATTATAGATATCTAATGAAATGTTAATCCACTCACTAAGTGCAGAACTGAGATATGATTAGAGCAGTGACATAATATAATAGATAAAGTATTGTATCAATGAACATAATTATACCTAAGTATATACACTCCCACACTTTTGAATCGACCTTACATTCCCGGGCCTAAAAGCCCAACACACTAAAAATATACAATATAACAAAAAAGTTTTTATGCATTTTTAATGCTAGCATATTTCATCGTCTTTCCCGTATGTATTATTAAAATTTGAATTTTAGAGTTTAAAATAAAGAACAAAAGCCGAGCTTGGTCACTGATTTCAAAAAAATAATGACTGTTGAAAGTTGCTCTGAAGCAATTTAATGTCGATTTGGTTTGAATTTTTGCAATTGTTGTAAACCAAAGTTAAGTTTAGTTATTTTACTATAATTTGAACATTTTTGGCTATAAAATTATGGATACTTCACCTGAAGTAGCCGCGCAAGCTGTAGCACTTCTTCAATCTGGGCTAAGTCAGTGAGATGTGAGTTCACAACTTCACATAAGTCGTCCCGCTGTTCAAAGAGTGTACCACCGATACCTGGAGACTAGCGGCTTCCTTCGGCGAACAGGAGGACCTCGTTACCGAGTGACAACGGAGATACAAGATCAATACATTGTCACTACTAGCTTACGAAATCGACGCCTTAACTCTGTTCAGATACAAGAACAGCTCAGGGACTTTCACGGAGTGTTGATCCGCCATCTTGGTTGTTCAATGATATTTCCCGAAAATAAAACTGTAGTCTAGTGACCAAGCTAACGTTTAATTTGAATCTTCTTATTACAAAATCAGTTATGATTGCCAAGGTACAAACGGATTGCTTTGTGAAGCGCGGAGAGTTCTCTGCTAACGTCCGTTCACTATCGCGGCTCACGTCTGAATGCTGAATGCCGAATGCCCCTTCCAATGAAGCATAGCCCTTAAGGGACTACCCTTAACATAGACCACTCCCAAGTGATGACAGCTGTCACTGTCATTACTTGACGTTTCACAAGGCAATGGTACTCTTGACTGATGACATTTGTTGTCGGTTTAACGTTTCGAAGGAGCGAGTGAGACGCCATCCGCCGACACGGCCATCCTGCCGCATCACACGTCCTCGTGTGCGTCTGTAAAGAAATATCAAGCCAGTAGTATTTACCATTGCTCGGTCATCTCTGACCAATAAAACGCCGTTATTACACAACAATCAGATTTGTTAAAGCTCCTTTTACAACGATGTGAATAGGTTGATTACATACGAACTAAACTGGGCCACAATAAATCGACTTCAAAGGACTCCTGAAGTTCTAGCTCAAACTCAAATTTCAACTTAACATCCGAACATTCCGAACACATGCCGCAATTCTCTACAGTGCCTCCATCAAGCACTTAAATTAACGCATAATGCCTCCATCAAGCATTATACCCTCCAAATGTCTCAGAAACAAAACCTAACGCCTCCCTCAAGCGTTATGTAACAGTGCCTCCATCAAGCACAGAGCCAACAACGCCTCCATCAAGCGTTGTGCTGTACCCCTAACTAGCGCCTCAGTAACACCTCCATCAAGTGCTACTGAATTCAATCACGCAATGTGTCGGAAACCTCGGGTACATGATCATCACTCTGATCAACTAACTCTTCTAAATCTATTTGAGCTTCAGGCATCCTTCTCAGTCTATCGTGAGCATACTTGTATGTTCTTTTGCAATCTAATGCCTTTAACAAGTAACGGTCCCTATCAAGTGACGATAACCTTGCCACCTCTAAGTGACGATAACCACACGATGCCTCAAGCAACCTAGCCAACTTATTGCCTAAATCGAGCAATACATCAGGTCTCTGACCTTAGCAAAGCATAATTAAAATCAACCAAGACAGTTTAATCGACAATATTCTAATTAGTCAGACATAGACTCAGAATATTGGTCAGTGGGCTCTACATCGTCTTTATCACTAGTCTCAGTAGGAACATCGACAACTACAACACCGATTAGAGTAGAGTTATTTTACCACAAGTACAATTATTTTACTGTGGTCTTCTGTAAGGTAGAGGTTACTTCCCTATGCGTGCGCTGCAATTCTAGCGGAAAATCCACTATGTCCTACTCATTAGCAACTCTAATTTATCAACACTCAGCACTTGAATCGTATGTAAAATGAAAACTGCTCACCGGGCAAGTAGTCGGCCTGTGGCGGTCTTCTCGCGCTGCTAATGTTGCTCTCCAGACTGCTCCATGGACAGTTCTTCAGTGGTGTATGAAGTTATCCTTGTTCGCGTTGAATTCATGTAAGTGAATCTTTTTATTAGGCGACGGTAACTTCATCACTTCAATAACGGCCATAAAGTTGCGTTTTCGGTGCTTCAAAAATCTCATCCATCTCTCGTCGCCATTACTGATGTTTTTACGCTGGTTTTCATCACTGGGTAATCCCGCTTCTGATGTCGGAGGGGGGCGAGCGGTAATAGGCGGTTGGCCACGTGGTTTTTCTTGATCCGCCATCTTGGTTATTCAATGATATTTCCCTACTACCCTTAGCATAGACTTGACGTTTCACAAGGCAATGGTACTCTTGACTGATGAAATTTGCTGTCGGTTTAACGTTTCGAAGGAGCGAGTGAGCCGCTATCCGCCGACATATATTATTATAATAGGGAAGATGCAATATTTTTATTTTTGTTTTCATTTTAAAGAATTCCATGTTGAATAAGCCACAGATATATTAAAAAATGAAAACATTGTAATTTATCGGAAAAAAACGGTTTTAGATTTACAGTTTAAATTTTCGCGCGAAAACGGACCTATGGTTCCGATGACGTCACTCCTGTCTGTCACTGGTCGTACTTGTTCGTCGCTGGCATACTTTTGCATATTTTTTCGACTTTCGAGTGATTTTTTTGTAAAAATTTAAAATGGACTATCCATCAACATCAGGTTATTATAACAATACCACTAATATTCCCAAAAAAGCCGTGGTGATTCATGTTTTATGCCAATGTGTCCATCTACTTCAACAAAGTTTCCAAATAAATTGTTTTTGACTTT